GCAGCATATCAATGGGTCTTCTTTTCTTATTCAGTCTGCCACTCTCTTTCTCTTAATTGATGGATTTAGTCCATTCACATTGAGTATAATTAGTGGTAAGTATGAATTTATTGCTGTCATTCTGTTGTGTTTTTTGTTGTATTATTGGTGATTTCCTTGTTCCATATATTTTCTGCGCTGAGTTACTTTTATTATCAAGTGTTTTTTCCCTTTTCTTCATTATTGTTGATTTTGTGCTGACTAAGCCCATATGTTTTTCTTCTTTCTGAGTTTGCTTAGGAAGATTGTTAATTTTCTTTGTGGTTACCTTTATTTCTCTGTGTACATTATTTTATGAGCTTATTTTAGGCATCTATTTCTGGTTTGGTTTCTAAGTGGTGGTGTCAAGTGTCTTGATGTTAATTTATTGTTCTCTGTTGTGGATTCTCTATTGGAAGGATTCCCTTTAGTATTTCTTGTAGGGTGGTTCTGATTTTCACAAATTCTCTTAATTTCTGTTTGTCTGAGAATGTCTTGATTTCACCCTAATATTTGAGGGACAGTTTGGCTTGATATATAATTCTTGGTTGTCAGTTCTTTTCCTTCAAGGTTTTATATATGCTGTCCCATTGTCTTCGTGGGAGCTCTGGTGGCACAATGCCTAAGGCATTTGACTGCTAACCATAAGGCTGGTGCACCAATCCCACCTGCCACTCCTCAGAAGGAAAGTTAGGCAATCTACTTCCATAGTGATACCACCTCAGAAACCCAAGGAGGGTTTGCTGTGAGTCAGATCTGACTCAAATTATATTGCCTTCTTGCCTGCATGGTTTCTGCTGAGAAATCAGAGCCTAGTCTTATTGGTTGTCCATTGTAAGTGACATTTCATTTTTCCTAAGCTGCTCCCAATATTCTTTCTTTGTCTTTGGTTTTGGTGACTTTGATAATGATACATTTTTATGACTTTCTCTTGGGATCTATCCTGTATGGGGTTCATTCAGCTTCTTGGATGGATATCTTTTCCACCTTTGTGATATGGGGGAAATTCTCTGTTAGCAAGTTGACAATTTGCTCAGTGGTTGCCTTTTTTTTTCCCCCTTCCTCTTGTTCTGGTATTCCAATGAGGCATATGTTACATCTTTTCATGCCATCCCATATAACTCTTAGGTTCTCGTCATTTCTCTTAAATCTTTGTTCTGATTTTTCTTCACATAGGCTGGAGTCAAGGGATTTGTCTTCTAGTTGGGAAATGCATTTTTCACCCACATCTAGTCTACACTTTTATCCTTCTGTGTTATCTATTTTGTAATTTTAGTGTTTATCTTTTGGCTTTCTAATTGCTGTTTTGTATGGTTCTAATTGTGTGTTTATCTTGTTCTTTTGCTCTTGAATGATTTTCCTGAATTCTTACAGGGTTCTGTCTGTCTTCTCCTTGTTTCTGTTTATAGCTCCCTTGAGCTCTTGCAAGTCCTGTATATATACCTTCTAAATTCCTTCTCAGATAGTTCTATTGCTTGTTCTTCTTTCATGATAGATAATTCTTTCATCTGGGCTTTTTTTCTGTTGTCCTGTTGGTTTTTTTGTTTGTTTGTTTGTGTGTTTGTTTTTGCTTGATTTGAGGTTGTCTGTTGTTTCCTAGACATTTTGAAGTTGTTGTCTTTAATTGTTAGTTATCTATTGATTTGTTGCACCCTGATCTTGTATTTTACTGTATCTGAAAGTGTGGAGCAGGTGTACTTCTTTGGTTATTAACTCAGCTGTCCTGGGTCACTTTCCACCTTGCTCTGTTTTGGTGGAATCACTGGTGGGGATGTGCGTGCAGGTCTGTGTTCGCCATGAAGAGGATTTGGAGTTGGAATGAGCAGGTGTTGTCCACTGCCTGTCATTGATCCTGTGGCACAGGAATTATGGTGTTACCTACCCATTGGGTTAGGTGTTCAGTTTTATAGCTCCAGTTGCCTGGTGGAGGTTTAATGGGTTACTCTTATTGGATGAGACAGGGAAGAAAAGAAGAAGAAAAGGGGGGGGGCACAAGAAGGGACCCCTAGGATAGAAAAGTAGAAGGAGTTTTCCATATTTGGGCTGAGATAATTCAGTCAGCCATGCAGACACAGCCAGGGTAGTGGGTCCTTTTGCGCTGTCAATCAAAGACCCACAACAGACAAACTTTCCAATGGATAGAGGGCTGGCACTTTCTGCTTGGATCGAGAAGATGTAAAATCCCAGTACCCAGGTCCACTCTGTGGTAAAAGGGGCCATCGAAGCATTGAACCCAGGCCCACTGCTGTGCACCCACTTTGGTGCTCTGCCTACTCGGAGGGAGTTTCTACCTTTCCCCAACTCCGTTCTGGACTCTATGGCAGCCCAAGCCAAGGGGTTCTTGATCCACTTCTCAGTGAGATTATTGTACTCATGCTGAGCCCAAGGTCACCTTGGAAAACTCCCAGTGTGGCTGTTCTGAGTCTCCAATGCCTGTGGGAGGAGCTCTGGTGCCTTAGTGCCTAAGGCATCTGACTGCTAACCAGAAGGCTGGCAGTTCCAACCCACCAGCCACACCCCAGAGGAAGATTGGGCAATCTACTTCCCTTAGAGATACCACCTCAGAAACCCAAGGAGGGGTCACTTTGACAGCAGTGAGTTTGGTTTTTGGTTTAATGCCTATTGGTTCCATGATTTTTTTTTCCCTTCCTTCCCTCCTCCTTTACCTCCTTTGTATTTTTGATACCTCCTCTCCTTCTCAGTTTCACCCAGCTGGGCAGGTTTGTTTATTTTTCCCAGTTGCTTAAGCTCCTCTCTTTCTTTGCTGTCACTGAATCTAATAGTTTATCTTCTCCTTAGTTGCTCATAACTTCAGTATCATTATTTGTATCTCTTTACCTAGTTACTCAGCATCTCAATTGGAAGAGGGATCAAACGTGTGGGTTATCGGTACAATGCCATCTTCCTATCTCATGATGTCTGATTTCTTGGATGTTGCTTCCATGGGTGTTTAAATATGTATATGTGTGTGTATATAAAACCAAAATCCAAACTTACTGCAGTCAAGTCAGATCCGACACATAGCGACCCCTCCTTCGGTTTCTGAGGCAGAATCACTATGGAAGTAAATTGCCCCATCTTCCTTCCGAGGAGTGACTGGTGGGTTTGAACCACCAGCCTTCTGGTTTGCAGTCAAATGCCTTAGGCAGTATGCTACCAGAGCCCCCTATGTGGATATATGTGTGTGATATATGCATGTGTGTGTGTGTGTGACTGCTAACTAAGTAGAAGGCTGGTGGTTCAAACCCACCAGTCGCTCCTCGGAAGAGTGATTGGGCAATCTATTTCCATAGAGATACTGCCCCACAAACCCAAGGAGGGGTCACTGTGAGTTGGAAATGACTCAACTGCAGTGAGTTTTGTTTTCTGGTCTTTATATGAATGAGAGAGAGAGAGAAGTTATCTCTGGAAATGGCTCATGCAGTTGTAGAATCTGGCAAATCCTAAGTTTTATGGTCATACATCAAGCTCGAGGCTTCTGTTAATTCATTCAGCTGCAGAGGCTGATGCAGGAAGTATAGCAGGTTGCTGTCTTTGGAGGAGGAGTTTTGGTGGTGCATTGCATAAGGCATTTGGCTGCTAACCAAAGGTGAATGGTTTAAACCTACCAGCTGTTCTGTGGGAGAAAGATGAGGCAATCTGCTTCCATTAAGATTTACAACCTTGGGAACCAAATGAGGGTTGCTGTGAGTCAGAATTGACTCGACAGCAGCGGGTTTGTTTTGTTTTGTTTTGTTTCTTTGGCTTCAGAAGATGATGAATCTAAGATCAGCAAGTAAAATGGCAGATTGATGGCTCACAGACTACAAAGGCAACAATTCCAAAGGGGCAGGTAATACAGCAAGCAAGTAATTAGATCTAGTGCAAGTCCAGGAACCAGAGATGATGATGAGCTAGGTGAAGGATCAAGATCAAGAAGAAAGCCAGAGAATTTTCCCTGAATGTTCATATATATATATATTGGAAACCTGCCACGGCCCTGAAAAAACTCCTTTTCAACTGATTGGCTGCTTATAGCACATCTTATCATGGAAGTTATTACATTATATGATATCTCCTCATGGGGGATGACTACATCATAACTGATTAAACCACTTAGAATCATGGTCCAGCCAAGTTGACACATAACCTTAACTATCACACAAGGCAAACGACTGAGGGTGATGAGAAGCCACAAGTCGCTGCTATCTCATCGTCTCACAGACAATCTTGCTGAGGTCAGAGTACCACAGTGTGGGTCTGTGTTCCAGTTATGTACTATCTACATGCTGATAGTCTACCTTTTTATAAAGCAGGAGGGATAAAGCAATTGTGTTAGAGGAGGAATACGTGAGTTACTTGGCAAAACACTCTGAATTTGGAGAGTAGCTGTAAGTAAGATTTGTCAAATGTTAACTGCCTAGTCCCTGGAAACCTTGGAGCCCTTGGGATATTATAGCACCTGTTTTATGGGAGGAAGCCCAATCACACAAGTGCAACTTCTCCTACTGGTGAAAGGGTAACTCATAATCCAGCTAGATTCTTGTCCAAGTAACCTGGAGTAAGATTCTGCAATTACTTTCAGATAGTTTACATTTATTGTAGCATGCATCTATATTTTTTTAATATTGGCATAGAGAATTATCTGGAGGGGTTCATCAAGGAATCAACAGTAGTTATCTCTAAGTGGTAACATTTAGAGTGTTTTTTTAATTTCAGCCATTTTATATTTTGTATTATTCAAATGGGTCACCACAAGCATGAATAACTTCAAAAAATAAGATACTGTTATTGTATATATCAGTTTTCAACATTTTAAATGTGAAATAACCAAAATTAATTACTGATTATTCTAAGTATGTTTCAGTGGAAATAGATAAAAGAAAGATTATCATAAGTGTTACTCCACAGTTTTTATTACTCATCATTTCTTTTTGTTTCTAAAATATATATTAGGGAATTTTCCTTCTGTGAGGTAATATACATATAAGGCTTTTCTGTAGATTTACCATGAAGGCAGAGGAAATGAAAGTGATTACAGAAAACTGGAAGAAATGCACCAAAGATGTCTGGTTGCCGAGCGTTCAAAAGACGATCTTCAGCTAAGACTTCAGACAGCAGAAAATAGAATAAAACAACTTGAATTAATGTAAGTTTTTCTTTTGGGTTTTCTGTCAATCCATACTTTACATTTATATGGCTTATTCCCAGTGTGAGTTTATTAAGGACACGGGAATGACAAAAGTTTTCATGGAGTTCTTTTAAGCAGAGTGTTTCTATCCAGTATGAGTTCTTACATGTTCAGTAAGCCATGAAGAATTAGTGAAGAATTTCCTACATTCCCTGAATATATAGATTTTCATCCATTGTGAGTTTTCACATGTGCCTTAATATATAATTGATGAAGTCACCTCATTCAAAGGATTTTACTTCCAGTTTCAGAGAGCTGGAAGTGCCTGTGTTTTCTAAATCTCCTATAAGCTATAGGTATCGCCCCTTTTCACTACTTTTTCTTACAAAGTATTTGCTGAAAAAATGAGTTATTTGGAGTACTTTCTTTTTTTTTCTTTTACAT